AAAAAAAAAAAAATAAATTATGTGTAAACCCGGCTGTGTATATTCATATGTCTTCCCCCCTTTGTTGCACCGAAAATACGTGCACTTTAGCGTGAAAAATTTGAAAAGAAATCGAAGTGAGCATCCATATCTGAAAAATTACGGGTTTATTTAAACATCGTTATGTATAATTATTGAAACAAATACTTTCGAAAAAAAAAAAAAACATATCCGTTTTAAAAGTTAATAAGAAAAGAAAGAAATATATTCGCAAAATAAGTCTTGCTATTAGTATTATAGAAAAAGAAAATATTATTATAAGAAAAATGCTTTTCACGAAATAAAAAGTATTTGAATAAGATAAAAATTGCTCACAAAAAATGTCGATAAATTTAAAAAATCTGTGCGTGTTTTTCAACGGATGTAATCTATTACTTAAGTATACGCATTCAAATTTTCTTCGATGAAAGTACCATCTAATATCCTCGATGATTCGCTAAAAATTTTTGGGATAAAAATGATAAAAATCCTCGCGATTTTCATGCGTTATCATTCACCTATCTGTGTCCTGTGTGCACTTATTATGTGATTCATGCGAGTTGATTTTTGAAAAGAAAAACTTGTTGGCAAATGACAAACAAGAAATGAAGATAACTCGTATGAACTGTACCTAACTCCCACAATAGGAGTAGGTAAGAAACTTTAGAATATGAAAAATTCCGTTGTGTATCTTCGCGGCAGACTCTATAAATAAATGTTTCTATTGTATATTTGTCGTTATTATTTAAAAATTCTATTATCTCTCATCCTCATTATTTTATTTTATAATAGAAAATAAATAATCATTTTCAGGTAAGTTTTAAATTAATTTTCTATTAAAAAATTTTATATCAATTATTAATATCTTTTATTTTGAAAAGTAATCGTATACAAATAATAATTTATTACAATTGTCGATTATGTGAATAGCATATTAATATCATAATAAGATTATAATTTTTAATTAACGAATATTTAACGTTTCAATATAAAAAAAAAGATTTTTACGAAAATACAATTGAAATGTTTCGTTCCTTAATACAAAAAAAAGAGTATTTCAATTACATATATTTGTATTTATCGTTTTTTATATTTATTTATTTTTTTTTTTTTCTATATTTTCAATATAACGATAAATTATCTAGTTTTGTAAGAAGTTGTTGATCTAATTGACGAAATTCGAAAGCACATTGATTTCGTTCAGTTTTAAGATCAATCTCATGACATAGTAAAGATTCTAAGCATAACGTAACTCGTAGTTTTCCATATGCTTCGATTTTCGTAAAGTAACTTTTTGCTTTGGAAAGAGCTTTAATAGCTTTTAAAATTACTTCCTTTCGTGTTTTGTCGCATATTGGAGCAGTAGCGACTAAACATTTTGCATATAAAATAAACGCTCTACCTTGATCATAATATCCTCCATGCGCTAAAATTTGCGTAATTGCTTCCTCTACTAAGTTTAATGCTAAAGTTGGCATACCCATTATTAACTGAAAATATAAATATAATAATATACTTAATAACAATAAAGTGTGTAATTTTAAATTATCGAAAAAAATATTAACCAATTTAGGTACCTGAATGTTTGCAAGATGCATTTTTATTAATGCTTTATAATAAGATAAATGATTCTTTATCGCCAGTTCTAATGCTGTATTTAAAAGTACTAACGAATTAACTCCTACAATTCCACTCTCTGATGAAACAGAAGCACACATTATTTGACTTAAAAGAATCATAGCTCTTATTTTATTTTGAGGAGTTATTTGTTCATCTTTCTCAATATTATCGATACATTCTAAACCTTTCGGATAATCTCCTTTTTCTAAACAAACTTCCGCTAATCTAATAATTCAAATTTATAGATATAAAAATTATATATACACATATCATTAAAAATTAAAGGAGTTTGAAGATATTTGAAATTTCATATTATATACTGAATAGTGATATATAACGAAATATGTATAACTTCAAATATTAATATACCTAAATTTACATTCCAAAGGATCTAAACTTGAAATATTTAACGCTATTGCTTCAGCTTCACTCCATTTTTCTTGTCTCATTAATTGTGTAAATATATAAAGTTGTTCACTCAACATCCATATCTACAACAACAACAAATATAAAAAATAACATACAATCATATACTTAAACTTAAACTTATATAAATAATTCATTTAACTAAATATGATATCGATTTGATATGGATATTCATATAAATGAATACCTTATTACACGGTTCATTGGGAAATCTCTCTTTAGCATGAGCAAGTACAATATCAACCAAAAAATATTCTCCAAATTCTACTAAGATATTTGCAATATTAACAACAGCTTGACAAGTAGATGGACCATTAAACATATGCTGTTTCTTATCTCCCGTATTGTGTAAAAGTAATAGCTGTGCACAAACAGAAGACATTTCAGTTTTACCATAATATGCCCATAGCGCAGATTTTTCCGCATATGTCATTGACATTAAATCTATCATTGAATGTTGACAATTTAAAACATCAGATTTCATCAGGGTCTACAATAAATAATCATATTATAAAAATGATTTAATCCTTATATAACTTAAATAGTGTATATGTATATCAAATTGCAATTGAATTAAAAAAAAAATGTATGCCTCAAACACTTGTGATGGATTCTTAGCTTCTAATGCAGAATTATGAGCATATGCAATAAGTCCTAATCCAGTTGTATGAGTTATTCCTAACATACTTGCTTTACCAACTGATCTTTCTATAAGAAGTCCCCTAAAATATATATTATAAATATATAAATATATGTGTGTATATATATATATATATATATATATATATATATATATATATATATATATAATAATAATAATTAATTA